GGTTTGGAAGAAGACCCAGCTTCTAAAAATGTTGTCGTAGCTTTGCACTTGAAACCATCTGACATTGAGGCCAATTGGGAAAGAAGAAGTGGAGTTAAGGGTCTCCTTGCAAATTTCATGATGAAGAAAGCTCAGATTTTCCTGGATGCTATGAGCTATCATGCCTTCGAATATGTATTAGCCCTCTTAATCTATGGTTTGGTCATGTTTCCTAATTCAGATCAACTTATAGATGTTAATGCCATCAACATCTTTCTTGCTCACAATCTGGTTCCTACATTGCTCGGGGATATCCTACATTCTCTCCATACTCGTACTCTGAAGAAACGAGGAACTCTCATGTGTTGCATCCCTTTTCTATATAGATGGTTTACTTCGCGCCTTCCTCGGTCAGTAATGCAAAATGATTTGGGCTTAAGGTGGAGTCAAAGAATAATGTCTCTCTCTCTCTCTCACTCTGACATCTATTGGTGCCCTCGCTCTTAAGAGGACATTTCTTTTATTGATCATTACGGAGAATTTCCTAATGTGCCACTCCTCGGCATTAGGGAGGCATCACCTACAATCCTTCTTTAGCACTACGTCAGTTTGGTTATACACGGAGAGATGGTCCACCGAATATGCTCATCCAGGGTATTGTGTTCATCTACTCAGATGATTTGCATAATTATCGTCAGAGGTTCATCCGCTCTTGAGGCATTGTTAAGAAGACTGATAGTAGGACTTTGGGGCATAAGAACTCTATCCCTTTGGAACCTTACCTCAAATGGGTGAGAGCTTGAGCCCAAAGTCTCATGATGCCATACGATTCTATCTTACTGGTGATCATGGAACCTATTGTTCAAGGGGATGAGTCCCGTATTATTCTCCATCCTGATATGCCAACCAACTTCGAAGAGTTGCAAAAGTCTTGGATCCAGCTCAAGGAAGAATGGGATACTTTTGAGGCTCAGTTCTATGCAAGTGAGAAAAAGGCGCTCGAATTAATAAAGCAACTTCACAAAGAGAGGAACCTCAACACCAAGAGGAAGCGTCCATGGGAGACTTAGGAATTTCTTTCCAATGTTTATCCTTGTGTAATCTTTTGTTTCTTTAAAAACTTACTAATAAAAGGTTTTGCTTTTTGTTTAGTTTAAAAGAGCTTGAATCCAATAAGATCCTTGAAATCATTGCATGCATATGTCATACATATCAGTGCATAAACAGGTTTCATAACAGGTTTCTCACATTCTTCGCTATTTATTTCAGCAAGAAATGGCTCTCGAACAAACTGTGAAAGACTTACAGACTCATAAAGCACAATTCCAACAGATGATCATGGCTCTAGCCAAAGGGCAAGAGGAACTGAAAGCCTTGATTATCAAAGACAAAGCTAAGAAGCCGAGAAGGACATCTGGTATGGTGAATCTGGGAAGAAGATTCAAGGGACCGTTGAAGCAAATGGTTGATCTGACCTCTTCATCCAAATAAGGGGAGAACCAAGAGGGTGAGACAAGATAGGAAGACCCTAGTCCGGAGGAATCTGACAATGACACTGATTACAATGAAGAGCAGTATCCTTTGGCTGACGAAAGGTGCAAACAGCTGGAAGAGCGTCTAAGTGCAATGGAGATTCAGAAAGTGCCTGGGATGGACTTTGAAGAGCTGGGTTTGGTGACGAATCGTTATTCCAACAAAGTTCAAAGCACCAGTGTTTTCTAAGTACGATGGGGTTTCGTGCCCCAAGATGCAACTCTGATTGTATGTGAGAAAGATATAGCTTCACACCGCTGACAGAGATTTATGGGTCCATTTCTTTCAGGATAGTTTATCTGGAACTCAGCTAGATTGGTTCTATCAGCTAGAGAGGGCCAACATCCATAATTGGGAAGACCTGGCCGCTGCTTTTTATAAGCAGTATCAGTATAATGCAAACCTTGCTCCCACCCGTACTCAACTCTAGAGTTTGGCTATGGGTTCAAACGAGGGTTTCAAAGACTATGCTCAGAAGTGGAGGGACTTGGCAGGAAGAGTTCAGCCTCCCCTGTCTGATAGGGAGCTAGTGGACATGTTTCTGGGTATGTTGTTCGATCCGTTCTTTAATCATTTAATTGGAAGCTCCTCGACCGGTTTCACTGAACTAATCTTAACAGGGGAGAGAGTGGAAGTTGGAATTAAGAGTGGGAAGATCCAAAAGGACGCATCTTCCAGTGCCGTGAGAAAACCATTCACTGGGAAGAAAGAGGTTAGTGTTGTGCGCCATCAACAGAGTCAGGACAGAACTGAACTTCGTCCAACAGTCGGTGCTGTCGTGATTCCTAAGCCTGCACCCACTCAACAGAGGAATAATCAACAGAGAATAGAAAGGTCAGTAATACAATTCACCCGGATAAATATTACTCTAGCTCAAGTTTTGCCTCGTTTGTTGAGATCCAGTCTGGTAACCTTGCGGGAAACGCTGAAGAATCCCAACACTACCTCTCCCCGCTACAATCCAAATGACCATTGTGCTTATCATTCGTAAAGTCCAGGTCATGATACAAATGACTGTTGGGCTTTGAAAAACAAAGTATAAGACCTTCTCGAGGCGAAGGAAATTGAGTTTGACGCCCCTGAGATGCCAAATGTTATCACTGCTCCTATGCCCAAGCATGGTCGTGGTGTTAACTCTATTGAGGACGATATGTTTGTTACTACTGTTGAAGAGCTTGTTACTCCACTTATGACCTTTAAGTGGAACTTGTTGAAGGCCGGTTTATTTCCGGGTTATGGCGAAGGTTGTCATTTCTGTTTATCTCTACCGACTAGTTGTCATTTGTTAAAGGCAGGTGTTCCGCGCCTGATGGATGTTGGAGATATTTTGTTTGAGAAGACTCTCGTTCCAACTATTTTGTACAATGATATTTCAATAATAACCATTTCCGCAAATCCTCTCAGAGTCTCCACTAAAAGACCCGTCAGGATTACATCTACTCTGAAGGTTACTCCGCTAAGAATTACTGCGCCAAGGCTAATCCCATACTCCTCAGACAAAATTGTTCCTTGGAACTATGGGGGTGACGTCTACTACCACGACATCAAGCAAGATTGGCTGGCTGATGAAGACCAGGTTTCTGAGAATACTGATCCCGACATTGTCAACATTGTTGGAACCAGCAAAATAATAAGAAGTGAAAGAGTGTTCTCCCCTGAGATTTCTCCTCCGAAAGTTGTTACTGGTCCTGTGATTATTCCTACTTTTGTTCCTGCTCCTACCACTACTGCAATTCCTTTGATTACTCATGCTGACACCCCTATCACCGAGTCGACCGAGACTCGGGGTAAAGACATATTGGTTGAGCCTGTCCAGACGAAGGCGCAGTCAGTATCTATTCTAGAGGCTTCTGTTGTACCCCAATTTTCGACCTAAGATCCCATTTTTATTTTTGCATTTTTAAAGATAAGTCAAGGTCACGAAATACAGTCGATTTTAATCTCTCACCTTCAAGCATTGACTATGCGAAGATTGTCAAGTGTTTTGAACATTTTTAGCCTATGTATCACTAATTTCTAATCGCATACAAAGGTGTATGTTCATGTTTTCTTTTGTTTCATGTGCAGAAACAGGTCTGAATCAAGAGCATCAGGTGTCGCGCCTCAATTAAAGTTTTGAGTCTCCCAAGCCCGAAGTACAGTTGATTGTGGATTCTTGAAGACTGATTCATCAAAGCACAACTGTTGCACCCTAAATTTCGCCCCTAATATGTTTTAGTCGCACTTTCATATCATATTTTGTTATTTGGTCACAATCATTAGTAAACATCTTCATTCATCACATTTTGCATCATTAGTCGTATTTAAGTTGACCAGAAAAAGTCAGTTTAAATCAAAGTTTGCATCGTCCTTCAGTTGTAAAATACCTGACATTTCACTTCATGCATTTTTATCTCTTTACTCGTTTCTTGCATTGCTCCAAGTTGTTTATATGTTGATAATAAAAATATTTCGGTTTTATAGACAAATTGTTAAAAGCGATTCGACACTGTGCGGAAAATTAGTGAGAAAAAATATTTCAAGTTTTCACCTTTTACCGATCATTTTATGAATATGCGTTTCGCGCAGATTATGACGGTATGCTCGCTTTATTTTTTTTCGATACAATTTGAAGTCTCGTTTTTAACCGTAAACATCTGTTTTAGCCCGATATTTTTATTATCATTTTATTTTGATTTCGACTTTTTGAATATTTTTCATTTAATCTTTGTGACATGTAGTTTATTTTAATGTGTTCATTTTATTTTTTTTCGGATAAATTTTCGTCCATTTTTTATTGTTTTCGGTCATTTTAGCTCTTTATTTTTTATTCAAAAAATATATTTTAAATTGAATTGATTTTAATACTTTCAGTTTTTTTTATTTCATTTTTATCATTTAAGGGCGTTTTTGTCACAAAAATATATTGATTACACTATACTATGCTCTCATTGGCTGTTAGCAAAAGTGGTGGATTGATACAAAAAACAAAACAAAAAAACTTACAGTAGCTCCTCATCTATTCTCTCTAACTCTCTATTCATTTGCTCCTCCCAATTTCCTCTGTTCAAAAAAAAACCCACACATTCCACCAGCTATCACCAATCTCCCTTCAATTCCTCTACCACCTATCACCACCGGTACACAATCCAGCATACTCACCTCACTGTTTCACCAACATAAAAAGTCCCTAATCTCTTCAATATGCAACAACAACACAATCAACAACCCAGTCCACCCCCTCTACCCCACGACTACCACTCCATCTCTCTCTCGCCACTGTTAACCCTTTACTCTCCATTCAATTACTTCCCCTCTTCCGCGAGTTTAATCAACAACCCAGTGATATTCCATCTTTCACTACTCCCTGCCTCCGCCTTCAATCCAACACAACATAAATAACAACTACCCCAACAACCTGCTCACTTACCGTCTTCGCTAGCTTCACGTTTTCCACCACTTCAACTGTAAGCCCTTCCCATCAACACCTACTTCCGCTTTTCCTCTCCATGCCACATCAACCCCGTTCATCAAATTCCTCCTTTAATTACCCTTTTCCATATGCCTTTGTTCCTCCGTCAAACAACGACAACCCCCTCACTTCGCCACTCACAACTACAGAGACGCTCTCACCAAATCCATTATCTTTTTCCAAGGCCAAAGATCAGGGAAACTTCCGCCTAACCAGAGAATCTCTTGGAGAAGAGACTCTGGTCTCTCTGATGGCTCAGCATTGCATGTTGATTTGGTTGGAGGGTACTATAATGCTGGTGACAATGTTAAGTTTGGTTTTCCTATGGCTTTTACCACCACAATGCTTTCATGGAGTGTTATTGAGTTTGGCGGGTTGATGAAAAGTGAGTTGTCGAATGCTAAAGAAGTTGTTCGTTGGGCTACTGATTATCTTCTTAAAGCCACTGCACATCCAAACACCATTTACGTTCAGGTGGGTGATGCTAAAAAGGACCATGCTTGTTGGGAGAGACCAGAAGACATGGACACTCCAAGAAGTGTTTTTAAGGTTGATGCAAACGCACCTGGCTCGGAAGTTGCGGTGGAAACTGCTGTGGCATTAGCGGCGGCTTCTCTTGTTTTCAGAAGAAGTGATCGAACATACGCCAAGATTTTAGTAAGAAGGGCCATCAGGTTTTTTTTCAGTTTGCTGATAAACACAGAGATATCAGGCACCACCCTGGTGCATCATTTGCTAACCTTTCTCCTTTTTTTTTTAAGTTTGAAAAAGTCAAATATATTTTTTCCCACATTTTTGTTAGTTTAATTTTTAATATAAAACAAAAGATATCAGGTTATAAATAAGGGGTGGTTCCACATCCCACGTGCCTCCACCCTATTTTTATTTTATTTTATTTTCAAATTTCTATTTTTTTTGTTACTACTCTTTTATGTTATGTTATCATTTATCTTTTTTTATATATAAGATTTATTATCTTTGTCTAAATGCCTCATACTAATAATTAACTCTTTTTTTATTTAATATTTTCTATGTAACTAACCAGCTTAATTTCTTATGATTTAATTTTATTTTAGTTATTTTATTTTTTTTATGATATTTATTATTATTATTATTAAACTATACAAAAATACAAAAAGTATTAGAATATGTTTATATTTAGTTTTTTTTCTTCGCCTCATAAAAAATACCATAAAAATACATTAGTTTAATTTTGTCTTTCATTTATTTTTATTGTTAATTATTTAATTATTTAAATTGTTATTTTCCATTTTTCGATCATTTAGTCTTTATATTTTGTTTGTCTAACTCCAAGAGAAAAATCGAATTCATTGACTTCATGTCATCGAATATATTTAATACAATTGTGCAAAAACCCCTTTGTATATTTTTTGTTTTATTAATATAAAAAAAAATCTCTTCTAAAACCCTAATTTTAAAACTCACACACCTTTTTAAGCCAAAAATTCAACACTAGGTCGTCGTATCTTCAAAATCTCGTCCACACCCATTTTGCCCAAACAAACCATTTTAATCAAACAAGTAATTTTAATAAACAGATATTTCAAAAGGTTCCTATAGGATACTATAGATGCATTGGGTGCTAATACCTTCCCATTGCATAACCAACCCCCGAACTCTCAATCTCTTTTCAAAAACGCATTGTATTACTTTTATTTTACATTGCATGTTTTAGGGTTTTATTTCGCTCTTTTCCCTTTTCCCTTGGAAATAATAAAGCGCGGTGGCGACTGTTGCTTTTTATGAGTCAAGTTAATTAATAGCTTGATCTCCGATTTTCACCGCTACAGAATTGGCGACTCTGCTGGGGAATGATTGACCTCTTGCTGGTCCATCCCTAAGTGGGTTAAGCCTAATTTGTTTTATCTGTTTTATCATTATTTGATTGTTTGATTATATGTATATATTATGATTATTTGGGTGTTGATAATATTTACAAAGGACAAGTCCTATACCCGGACTAAGTTACACTTAGGAATAGGACGGGCGGTATAGTCATGTTAACTTTGAGGGAGTAATCCCGAAGAAGGAGGCATGAGATCCCCCACTCAGTGGAAGGCCCTTTTGAACGTAATATTTGTTTACCGAGTAATCGGGAAGACATTATTATTTTCGACCTGGGAGCCAGAGAAGCTGGGAACCGTAGAACCCTAACCCATCTTGGCCTTTTAGGTGTAGCGCAGAGATTATAACGGAGTAATCCGGAAGTAATTGTTATGCGATGCTACGCTCGGATGAGTTTCTCTTGAGAATATTGCTGATTATTGAGTAATCAAGACGTTGGTAATATCCGAAGGAGGAATGTAGACTCTGGGAACTCTTAGAACCTTGTTCTTCAAGTGTGATTAAACCGTTAGTACATACCTTGGGGGTGTTCCTTACCTTGACTCCATGCTCGTGACGTTGAACCTTTCGACTCTATTTGTGACCTTGCTTGTGGTTGTTGCATAGCCATGCATTCATGCATCCATAAAACCCTTTTCACTTGACTTTGAAGGAATTTGGAAGTTTTTCTTTGTAAATACCACAAGTTTTGTCAAGCTCAATGGCTCTTGGGTGTTGATAGGGCGAAAACCCTAATCCACCAAAATGGATGATTGATCTTGATGATAACTTGATCAATGTTTGGAGCCAATTTAAAATTCATCTTCTATCTTCATACTTTGATGTTTACAACTTAATACCTTGAAGATCAAATAAAAAACTCTTTTACGTTCACATATCATACATCATTCTACATTTTTTGTTTCACTTTCAAAGGTCTTTTTTTTCGAGTCTTATTTTTCCTTTGGTCTCACCAGTACAACACTCTTGCTAAGAGAATAATGGAGAATATCAAGCAAGAGGTTTCTGAACTCCGTAGAGAGATGACTAATTTGAAAGCTAGTGTGGAGCGCTTAACTGGTTTGGTTGAAATTCTGGTTGCCGCCCAAGTTAATCCTTCTAGGAGAGACGAAGCGATGATAAAAGTCTTCACTGAAACTCTAAAATCATTCTCTCATGAGAAGGTGATGGTTAATGCACCTAATGACTTTCCTGACAAGGTGAATGTGGGAGTGTGTCTAGAAGAAGATGTTGGGAAGGGATGTTCATATGAAGATGGTAGCTCAACTAATGGTGTGAAGAAGTTTGATAATAACTTTTCCAAGAAGAGAACCAGAGGAAGAAATAATCATTGTCAGAATCATCATGTTTCTCCTATTCATCAACAAAATCAGCAAGTTCCTAATCAGAGGAAAACCCAGTTTGATCCAATTCCAATTACCTATACAGAGTTGTTCCCTATCCTGATGCAGAGGAATTTGGTTCAGACCCGACCTCCACCGAAGGTTCTTGAGAAGATACATTGGTACTACAAAGCTGATTTGGCTTGTACCTTTCATCAAGGTGCTCCTGGGCATGACTTAGAGGGTTGCTTTGCTTTGAAGATCGAGGTTCAGAAGTTGGTCAGAAGTGGTATCTTGTCATTCAAGGACGTTGGTTTTGAAATTCAAATCAAGCATGTGCCGAAGAGTAAACACGATTGATGGTCACTTTGAGTTTTGAAGGATGTTTTCGGTAATTCAAGTCCAGATGGAAATCCTTCCTAGATTATTAACTTATTTCTGCTCTTTGTAATTTTTCTTGTTTATCAAAACATTGTTTGCATGTAAGAACTTGTTTGCATCTGAATGATTATCTTAATACAATGGGTATGTTTGTCTTGAAGAAATTCATTCGTTTCACTCATATTTGTTTTAAAATTTTAAATTTCTTTTGGCATTATGATACCAACTTGTTGCCCATTCTCTTGCCTAGGCAGAGATTGAAGGGAGGATGATGATCTGAAAAACACAAAATCTCTGGTTGTCTGCTTTCTGAATAAAATCTTACTGATGATGTACAGGCATTGTTTCAAATCCCTAAACACTGGAGATATAAGGAAGATAATCCCTTGCTAACCCCTTTTGAGCTTTTGAAGCAGAAGTTTCTTTTCTATACGAAAAAACCTTGAATTTTAACCTGGGGCAGGGTAGTTTTTAGTTAATCTGACTGAGTGTTCGAAGTTCATAAGGAAGATGTTTTTTGAAGAGAAACTACGAGGGCTATCTTTCATGTATAATGAAGCCAGAAGATGTGGAATCATAATGTTAACCCTCATTCATCAAGAAACGAGGCAATCACAATCCTCTCAACAAGCAAATGCAAGCTAACGTCACACATTTTGTTCAAAAAGTCAAAAATCGAGGAAAAAGAAAAAGCCTGCTAAGTCAAAAAACATGAAAACGTGTGACTTAGGCAAAATTAAGGCATCCCGCTGGACTATCAATTCAAAAGAATTAGTTCAGGCAAAAGTTAGGGAAAATAAAAATTGCAAAGAAAAGGACTGCAAAAAAAAGTCCTCAGCAAAGAATAAATTGGTGACTACAAACACGAAGACATGAGGGTGGTTTCTACTCCGAAAACCTCGTCGTTTCCTTAACCGTCACAAAATCCTTTTGAGAGATGAACGCTCATGTTGAATTAACTGAACATAGGATTGGAGAACATCATGAAGGGGGTGGGCACCAAATATTCTGAGCCTTAAAATCTTTTTTCTAAAAACCATGAACCAGACCACGTTACAACCTTCAAAAGTCCTAATTGAAGCAAGGTTATTTTGAAAGCATACTTCAATGAGATAGTGTTCCTGACTCCCATGAATGTTCTAAATAGTTATGTTGGTATCATATGTTTTTCCTATACAAAAATAAATGATGCTCTAACTCGCAAAATTTGTGCGATATCTTTTCAAAATCTTCGACTTACATAACTGTTGCATTAGAATTTTCATTCTCATAATAAAATTTTCTAACTGCAAAACATTTGTTTGATATCAAGGAAACTCACATATAAGCACCAATGATGAGTCAATCCTTAAGGCCTGAAACTCTGTTGAGTAATTGGCGAATCATTTCAAGAAAAAATCATATCCAGGGGCATGTCACCTGAAGACCTTAAGCACGGACATGTTGATTCTCCCAGTTAATGCTTTCCCAACTCGCTTACCCTTTTGGGGCAAAATTTGAAGACTTTGTTGTGCCAACTACAGTCAATCCGGGGCAATCACGTCGAGATTTGATGAATTCCTCTAAGAGTTTGAAGACACCAGAGCATGGTGAATGCCAGGTCTTTTGTAAAATCCTCTTGAGACGATTTCTCCTCATCAACCAGATAGCTTGGGGCATGTTAGAAGTGAAGCTATTCGCAAGAATTGTCGTGCAACATGCAGCTCATCAGCAGTAAACTTGGGGCATCTAAAATTGGTCCCAGGGGCAATCTAGATTTGTCAAGACATGTGATATGTATTGCACACATTATCAGAGGGTGGTGTTCCCAGTATCGCCAGTTAAGCATGACTTTTTTCCAGCTAAAACTTTGTTTGTGTTGTTATCCTTTCAATGGATTGTTTGCAATAGAAGACTGGACTTTGGGTTTTCTACCTGAAAATATCTCCCTCTCCAAAGAGATTTAAGCCTTGTAAAAGGACCTTGCTCCAATGATGGCTTGTGTTCTATCTCCAATAATGTTCCCATCTTGTTGAGATTAGCTGAGTGTTGGGTTGTGCTATGATGTCTTATCATCTCCAGTTTATCTTGTCTATTTGTTTTGTCAGCACATACATGGCACTCATTTATTCATTCACACTTGCATCATGCACGCACAGTTGTATTTGTTGATGTCATTGAGTTCGTATACCTAGGTTATGTTTATTCAAATAGCATATTTGATCTTCCCAAATAGAGTGTCAACTTAAGCAGAAAGTGCGCCTCTTTTCTAATTCCCCCACTGAGTTAACTCTCGTGGAAGAATCTTGCTTTAGCTTTCCTTTTCCATCTCTGGATAGGATAAATCCCCATTTGAGTTGTTTCCTCATTGGGTGGAGTCTTGTTTGACTATTTTCTCTCCAGTTTATTCCTGGATTGAGCTTTGTCTCCGTCGAATGCAAGGGCACCACTTTGGCCCATGTCCTTGTAGATACTGGTTCGTCGTTAAATGTGCTGCCTAAGAATTCCCTGGACAGACTAGAATGCGAAGGTTTGACTTTGAAGCCCAGCAATATTGTAGTGAGGGCTTTTGATGGATAAAAAAGAATGGTGCACGAGGAGGTGGACATCCCCATCAAGGTTGGTTCTCAGACTTTCGGATCTACCTTCTACGTGATGGATATCAGGCCATCTTATTCTTGTTTGTTAGGCCGCCCTTGGATACATGGGGCTGGAGCTATTACGTCCATTATGCATCAGATGATCAAATACCCGATCAAAGGGAGAATTGTCACTGTACGCGGCGAAGAGGAATACATGGTCAGTCATTTGAATTCCTTCAGATATGTGGAAATGGAAGTTGAGTTCGTTGAGACTCCGTGCCAAAATTTTGAAGAGGTACCTCAGACTCTGGCTACAACTGAGACTATTACCAACGTGTCGAAGATCACCAGACCTCCCTTGAAGATGGCCTCTCTCAAGGATGCAAAAGCGATTGTCGAAGAAGGTGAGTCTACCATCTGGGGTCAACTCCCTGATATTCCGTACAAGTCTGATAAATTTGGTTTGGGTTTCTTTTTAGGGGCTCAAAGGGCTGTTCGACGTGCTCGTGCTAGAAAACCTCCCCTATGCATCAGTATTAACGGGGTCAACGCGGTAGAAGACGGAGACAGTGACAATGACATGAATAGTTGGATCTTCCCTACTACCAACGGTGGACCTAGTAATTGGACAGAAAAATATTTTGTACCTATTACTTTTGTTAAGAAGTAATTGTCTTTCTTGTTTTTTTTTATATGTAATAAACAA